ACCGAGGTTCTCTGGATAGGATCAAAAGAAAGGGTCAAATCAAATTATGTGCCCAGAAAAAAACTTGAAACGAGCGGATGGTAAAGTCAAGGCTTTAGGTGTTTGTTTCGTACGGACCAAAATGAGGGAATGAAAATGAACTATGAAGACAAGTTTCACAAAGTTGAAGATACTCTTACAATTGGCAAAACAAGAGATTAACGCTTCCTGGAAAGGTTACAATTATAAAAATTTTAGCAGCATCCCAATTGGTCTGTATTACCTCCTCATTACGTAGATGTTTTAAATCGTTAAAAAAAATAAATGATTTGCTTTTCAAATTTCTCTGGGATGGAAAAAGGGACAAAATCAAACGGTCTGAAAAGATTGCTGACTATGGCGATGGTGGTCAAAAAATGTTGGACATCATGGTTTTCAATAAGTCTTTAAAGATCGCGTGGATAGTAAAGTGTATTTCCGATGATTGTTAATCAAAATGGAAAACTTTTCGGGATTTCTATCTTTCAAAATGGGGTGGAAAATCAGTTTTTCTTGGGAACTTAGGGAAAAAAGATGCCACCAAACATGATATCAAGGATAACTTCCTCCGAGAACTTCTCGAAATTTGAGTCGACTTTAATTTTAGAGACTCGTTTCTCTCCAAACACGACTTTTGTAGCAGCACGATATGGAATAACTCATCAGTCAGAATTGCTAATAGGCCTTTTTTCTACAAGCACTGGGCCGAAGCTGGTGTACAAAATATCAAAGATCTTGTTACCGATGATTTTACGGTCATAACTTATAGAGACTTCAGAGAGAAATATTGCTTATCTGCCTCTTTCCTTGAATTTTATGGAGTGACCTCGGCCATAAGGAGTGCTATGAAGTCTTTGAAATTGAAGGCTCAAGGTGAAAAAGATCAGGGTTTTTCGGTGCAAAAACTGATTGCAGCAACCAGGCCGATTAAATTAGCGTATAAAATTCTTATAAAAAATATTCTACTAGCCCCCAAAAGAGTCAAGAAAAATGGGTAAAGGACTGTGACCTTGAAGTGGTGGAGGATTTGAGCTGGAGGTCGATTTATTTACTATCAAGGTTGTGTACGCTCAGTACTAAGATAAGGAACTTACAGTTCAAATTTCTCCACAGACGCATAGTAACGAATTCCTTTCTATCTAAAATAGGAATTTCAGAGACTGCTCTTTGCTGTTTGTGCAAAACAGACAAGGAAACATTAATCAATCTTTTCTGGGAATGCTCGGTAACGAAAACCTTTTGGGGAAGGGTTCATTGTTTTTTCGCTTCAATCCATTTGATACCAGCCTCACACGTTTTGGATATCTATGAATGTTTAGGTTTTAGAGGAGAAAAAGATGATATTTTATTAAGCCACTGTTTGCTCCTCGCAAGGTATATTTATTGCTGTAATTTTTTTTAACATCTCTCCATCTATCAGAGAATATGCGCAGCAGCTGAAATATAAATTAGAAATTGAAAAACAAATATCTATCGTCACCGATTCCCAGAATAAATTTCAGCAGAAGTGGCACAAAATACTTCATGCACTATAATTGCTATATAAACCGCGGGCGGGCTCCAAATGTGAGCCTGCTCGCAGGCTATATTTCACTCTCCTTATCCTGATCTTAAGCTTCTGAAAATCAAGCTTGCTAAAAGCTGTACTATTGGGTTCCTTGTCAAGCTTTTACTCTTGTCTATCCCACCCACAATTTAGCCTCTTTGTCTTTTGTAATTGTTAATGTTTTCTGAGTAAGTTCCTTTTTTTTTTTTGCAAATGATGTGATATGTATCTGTTTGTAGTATCACATTGTAAGTAGTGTAAGCAAAACAATTTGAGTAGCAGAAATATTAATTGTTAATATTGCAAAGCAATGTACGTAGAGAGTATCCTTAATGTAGTTAATGTAAGTATGATATTGTAAGTAGTGTTCTGTGTGGTTGTAACATAAAAGAAATTAAAAGTTCTCACTTAAGCTGAGTTATTTATTACGTTAGATGAACATGTAGGAAAGGAACATACCATGTAGGAAAGGATAACACTAATGTTCTTCATCGATTCCTGATATCTACTCCAGGCAGTATTTAGTGTGTCCAGGAAATCGTCATCGTGTGAAAGCATTACATCGTGGTATACCTTGAGAGAAATACAATCGAAGCTTGTTATGAGTCCTTTTTGAACATGTGCCGAGGACATGTAAAGCAAATACTTGAACTGACAGGCTTGAACTCAGGTCAATTTTCAACAATGGAAATTAATACCCAGCCCGTTTTAGGATGAACAAAGATATCTCAGCCATTCTGAATCAGAAATGAATGACTCTTGGCCGTACGATTCTACTAGAGGTACCCACAATATGAACCTTACAATTTTGATACCATGACAAGACACTGGGTTCCAGACTTCCCTAATGTTGAAGGCTTTTCTGACCACCTTTAGCGTTCTTTATTGATATTTGCCAATGGTACCTGATCTGCATGATCCAGCAAGCATATAAATATGTCAGGCCGAGTTCATGGGCTAAATTGTTTAATGTTTTCGAGCTGAAAATCACCAAAATATTAAAATCAGGTTGGGGGGGGACTGTAAAAGAGTAGGTTGCCATAGGAACTGAAATTTTTACAGCAGTAGATGTGCTACATCTAGAACTAATAGTCTACCAAGTTTCAATGGTTTCCGCTGCAAGTTGACCGAGATAGCTCTATTTATATACTCGATGCAATATTTGGTTAAGCGTATGACGTCATCGGTTCATTTGCATATTTTACACATTTTTCAAACTTAAATATCTCCGGAACCAATGCAGATACTTGCAAACGGTAAACGGAGTTTTTAATCTTTCGCACAATTCTACGTGATCAGCCAAAGGATTCAAAGGTCAAAAATTCGATAATAGTACCACTTTAACCACTCTTTATAAGTAGGTGCTAGAGTTATTTTTCAGGAAAGCAAAGTACAGTCGAACCTCTACAAAGTGGCCACCTATTAAGCGGTCACTCCTTATTAAGCCGCCAGTTATCAAAGTCCCGAAATTATTGTCAGTAAAATATTGTAAATAAAACCCCTATTAACCGGCCACCTCTAGTAAGCAGCCACGGCCACCTTTTGGTCATCCCAGTGAGGGTTTTTCTTTTGTTTTTACCCCAATTAAACGGTCACCTAAAATCTAATACGTAAATTAACTTTGGTTTGGAAAAGGCGATGGCCGATAAGAGTCCGATATAGAAGGTGAGTCCAAAATTGAAGTGAAGCCATGTTCATTCAGAAATTAAATGTAAAAAAAACCTCTTAAGCAGCCACCTCCATTTTTCCGAGGGTGGCCATTTAATAGAGGTTCAACTGTAGTTAACGCAGTTTGATACCTTTTCTACCAGATGTCCTGTGACAACTTCCTGGAGTCCAGAGTATAACATCTCTCCATGCTTGTGAAGCACCAGAGAATAAGCATTCCTATCCATTTTAAATTAACATCATTAGGACATCAACAGCTTGTATATATCCCTTAGTTAAGTCTCATTACTAATAATTTATTATTGATGCTTGTCTTTCATCAATCTGTTTGAAGCTTTTCTCTTATTTTGTCCTTTGCATTCCGCAGTTACCTTAAATATTGAGAATTAGAAAATAGCCCAAAGAAAATACACGTGCTGATTGGTTTAAATTATGTACTGTGTCGCTATCGAGTTTTAGTATAAATCTACTAGTGTTCTTATTCTTTAACTTTCTATCACGAATGCCGCTCTCTGCTTGGCTTCGCTACTCACTATCTATTCTGTGATAGATAGTGAGCAGCGTAGTAGTGTGCCTTTGTTAACAAAATGAAGGCCACTTCTTGGTGTTTTCAAAGTGTCTGTGAAGAGGGTTAGATAAAGTTTTGAACGATTAGTAGATTCATACTAAAACAATTAGATTCGCTCGCTGCGCCCTCGTCAACTATCACGCGATAGAAATCTAGAGCTCATAATCTAATTGTTTAGTCGAAACACGAGCGAAAAATTGGGTGAACGAGAAATGCTGTGGGAACACGAGCCGACCGGCGAGTGTTTCCACAGCTTTTTCGAGTTCACCCAAACTTCCACGAGTGTTCGACAGAAGCATGGAGAACAAGTTTAATTCTACAGTATTTCTTTTAGAAAAAAGAAAACAACTTGTTTACTTTGATCATCAAAATGTAAATTCTATTTGCTCGCCTTCATTATGTCAAGAGCTCCGTGATAGTTCTGTGTTTTTATCGAGTTTTAGAAACATGATTTTAAACCAATCATCACGCGTATTTTCGTAGGGATGTCTTCTTCAAATTCCTCCGTTTTGAAGAGTGTTTTCGAAAAGCTCCGTTTTCGTAACCGATTGTGTTTTCAAATTTCTCCAGCATAGTGAGGACGCTGCTATTGATTAAGAATCCCAAGAGGACGTGAAAATACACACTAATTTGCCCCCTGAACTTCCCATAATAGCTATTTGAAACAATAGAATTCAAAATGGCCACCGTATCGCCAAAAATGTCCATTATTCCTAGAAATGCTTCGCAAAATTATTTATTACTCAGCTACAAAAAATTCATCATAATATTGAAACAAAATGGTTGTTTTAAGGTGTCTCTATACAGTTTTTTCTGGACCACGCCAAACATTTTCAATCAGCTTTTTTAAGAGTCTACCCTTAGCGACACCAAAATAAAACCAGTCATTGAAAATGGATTGAAGTTTTGTATGATGTATTTCTTAATGCAATCGATGTTTCCATGGCAATGAAAAACACAAGAAAAGAAAATCGGTAAAACATGAATTTTGCGCGAACAAGATGTGATTAAAAAAGGTAATATCAGTGCCTTAAATTATGGTTTATGGCAAAGAGAATATACAAGAATTAAACATTCTCTATGTTTGATCTCAAGTAAATCGCAAAAGCATTTCAAATTGTGCCTTTTGGATCAGAATAATACATGAAAAACCAGTTGAAAAATGTGTTGATAAAATTGCTTTGAAAATCATTACTTGCTAATAAGTTTCATTGCGCTAAACAATTAGGCTAATTCTGTGCCAGCCAAATTAATAAGGTGTCCGACCAAAATGAAGATTTGAAAGACTTCCAGCACTGTAATAACATTATTTTACACCAATTAAATGAAGGAAAATCACACGTTACATAGCAGTACACTATGCATGTACAGTGTAGGGCTGTGTCCTGGCAACTAACTTTTGCCTTTGAGGAGCAGGAAAAACTTCCTTTTTTCCATATGCTTAAAGTGCACCTAACCCCAAAATTTTTTTTTCGCTAAAACAAATCTAGACTTTATTTGAAGCATTTGGGCGAAGAAATTTTTGAATTTGGTTGAA